GTGAGGTGTTGATGAATTAGGAGAAAAGTCGGTCACAGCACGCAAACACACGTGTTTCCTAGCTGAAATGTAAGATGGCTAGCATATGGAAAATCTAGACCTCCAAAAACACATACAGACAAACACAATATACCTCCCTCGCACTAGTGAAATAATTATAATTGCAATGAAGACACATCTCTAAGGTCTCCTACAACACCGTCAAACATTCAATATACCTGATATGAATGTCATTTGTAAAACACTTGGCAAAATGTATACTCTATCTCCGTAATATATTTATACTCCATACAGTTCAGAATGCGAGTGTAATCTTTGACACACATACTGAAACAGTTTTGCAAATTAATTGAGTGATTTCTGATAGACCGACTTGGGACACAACTATTTTCACATGGTGCCCCCTTGGAATGTTTACCAGAACTGCAAAAAAGGCATATGCTAGATGTACATCAACGCTTTTTGCAATACGTGTTATAAGAAATTGTAAAAGGCCTAATTGAATATTTTTGTCACAAAAAATTGCAAGCAACGAACAAGTTAACTGTGAAGGGTCTTCCAGTAGACGTCTACCATAGCACTACTTTCTTCGTGTATCAAAACTAGTGATCGGCACTACTACCGCAACTTTCGACGATCAAACAGGCTTCGTTCTCATGGATCAAAAGCGACTCCCCTATCTATCCTTATTACTGCACGTGCGATAAACGTGCCGTAGGTACACACTGAGTGGAACATTGAAGAGGAATTTCAGAAACAGTTTCAAAACGAACACAGTCATGTTTTATTTCTGGATAGTGTTTAGCACCAAGGACATGTGTGTTAACTTTGTTTACCTTGCTATGTAAAACAAACAATGTTGCCAGGTCTTTCAAATTCTTTCGTGACGACATCAATCGCGAGGTCTTTTTCAACCCTTATAGTCTTACATGAACCACTTTACAATAGTTTACATGTAACTGAACCTGAACGAAGGCGGTTAGGGAACGTCATAGGACATGTGACAGGTGGCACTGTTGCGCTTTGAATCATGGGAACGCCTCGCGCCTAAAATCTCTCTCCTCCTGGGACCGAAACTGAACACAAACGTAAGAATTTTGTCCGATTTTTCTAGCTCCGTACATAAGTTATCATCCTAATCAGTCGCTAGTTTGGTTTAATATCTTAAATTGCTTTTGATTGTGTCTGGACTTGGGAGGGAGGGGTTAAGTTAGTTTCAGTCAACTGTTGTTTCAGTCGGTGCAGTAACTTGGGGGGTCCAAAGTCGGCCATTACTGTTCTACCTCAGTAATGCATGTCTTTTGTTACTTTTCGTCTAAATCACAGAATGCAGCTGGCAGTGGCGACTTGAATTAGCTTCAGTCGTTCAGTCGTTAGCTGTCAAGCTGTTTGGACTATGAACATCTACACACATTCCGACTCTTTTTAGATAAAGTCCATAACTAGTTGTCCTTATTATGTGGACCCATGCATAACATATAATAACTACATCTATGCCGGAAGTTAGACCTCCTTGGACGTCTCGTGTGTTTTATAGGGATCAATATGTCGAGCGCATCGGGTTGGTCTTCCTCTCAACCTTTTATTTCAGTAACAGTCAGCATTATTGAAACCTTTCTTGCACAACAATTGCTCGATTTACTAGTATTTTGTATTACCTTATGCCATAAGTCATTAATTCATCCATTTATTCAACAGGAAGGACCGGCTGATCACTGTTCAGCAGGACATTATGGAGGGGCAGAACAAGGGAGAGGTAGGTTAGACCTAAGATGCTTTATGATTTCACAGTGTAAAACGGGGATGTTGGTGCCATAAAAGGTTACACCCACAAGAAATGAACATTACATTGACCTAAATAAAACAAGATTTGTCATACATGTAGTTGGGCAGGTTTCAATACAGCTCATCATTGCATAGGTCAGTCTTTAAAACATTGCATTGTTTGTTTGTTTTTTAATTCATGTACTTGAAAATGAAAATTTGCAATATCAGAGATCACAGTAGGTTTAACTGATAAGCAAGCTATGATGTTTATCAGGGCTAGAATGTGGCTGCTCGTGTCAGATATGTGAAAGTGCATAGTTCTGTAATGACTCATATTAAAGTGAAAGTGAAAGTGAAAGTAATCTCAAACCAGTTTAGCTCACAGGAGCTAATTGTAATTATAAGTTATTGAATAAACAGGTGAGAGGTGATTTAATGCATGTATATGTGCCTTCCCATGTCAATCTAGATGTGTTTAATGTATTTGGACAACAGCTCAAACCAATTAGATGCATGAAGCCACGACTACTGACCTTACATGACTCAGAATTCAACCTCATCAATTAATGGAGCTCCATTACTTTTTTTACAGCCAAGTGCTCCCCTGCACTGGGCAGCTCAGAATGGTCACCATGCAATTATCTCAGCTATGCTGAAGGCTGGTGAAGGAGTGAACACCCGAGACTCTATGGTAAATTTAACCTATTATGTGGGGCTTTGAGTGTTCTCATATTATCATATCTATGACAAATTTTATGGCAGATATCAGTGTCTGACTAATTATCATGACTCTCTGACTGAGGACCTTCAAACCTTTAACTTATTTAATGTGGCCACTTTCGAATGGTCAGCTCTTAGATAATTTCCCATCAACACAAGCATCAAGAATCATGTTTACATGTACAATGTATATTGACCACCTGTCCACATAAGCCACATTTTACCAGATTGACTGTACTTCAATCTGTCTTGTTATCTAATGATTGTTCAATAGCAAAGGACTGCCCTGCACGAGGCATCAGTGAATGGCCACCTTAAAACTGTACAAGCTCTACTTGTAGCCGGTGCAGATGTGAATGTGCGAGACATGACGGTAGGTACATGTACATGTACATCCACTGTCAATGTGTGCCAAATTTGTGTATAACAACAGGACAGTCTATTAGCTGCTATATCCTGTTAGAAATACATCACCAGAAAACACGAAGTAACATTACAAGAGATCACCCCTTAAATTTCCATAATCACCATTGCAGATCAGATACTTTAGAGACAGCTTCTTTTAACCTTAGGTATGTCAGCCTCAAGTTATTCATCCATTCAACTTCAAGTTGAGGTTCAATGGACCAGGCTAATGGGCCTCCAACCCCAGATGTCAAATCAAACACAAAACATTATTTTAAACTATGTCAGCCATACATGTATATTGTCATTCCATCCTGAAGACATTCTGAAAACAGGTCAAAATTGTGTTCAACAGCAAATCACACCTCTGCATGATGCAGCCACAAAAGGCCACCACAAGACTGTCCAAGCTTTACTAGAAGCTTTCGCAGACGTGAATGCACAGGACTTCGAGGTTTGTACATTGGCTGTTGAGGTACATTAAATGTTTTTGGAACTTTGTCAAAGATTGTCACAGTGATATTTATCTTGTAGTGCAATACTGAATGGAGATTTTGTAAATGTTTTTGCTGACCAACTTAAGAAATGCATGAATGAATTTTATTAGCCTGGTTACCAGACCTTATAATTTTAGCTCCCAAGTCTCCCGCTATTTGCAGAGAGGGAAGTCTCAGAAGCCAAAATAGGTTTGGTCTAGAACTTTTCATTGTTTGACAATCATACATGTATTCCAACTCTTTTAACAACAATACTACAGGACAATATACTATCTTACATTTACGACTACAAATAACAGTTACATCATCGTCAAGTATTGATGATGTGGTACAATTGAATGAAGTACAAAGATTATGTTGGGGCTACAGTTAGGATTAC